TATCCCCCTGTGTGCCTTGTCGACTCAGTTGTATGCTATACGAAGTTATTACGTACATGAAACAACAGGTGTAACTCCTGCAGAACTTTATTTTGCCAGGGATCTCAGATTACCTATGGATCTATTACGAGGAAATCCTCCAGATTCAAAGAAGACACATACAAATGAAAACTATTTGAGCAAAATTAGAAACAAATTAGAGGAAATCCATGAAAAAGTCAGAAAACGAATAGATATTAAATCTTCCCAATCTAAAACTTGGTATGACCAAAAAGCCAGACAAATTTATTTTGATGTGGGACAAAAAGTATGGCTGTATAATCCTCGCAGAATAAAAGGGAGAGCGCCTAAATTACAAAGCAACTGGGAGGGACCTTATCTTATAGTAAAAAAACTTAGTGACGTAGTATATTGCATTCATAAGTCAAACAGAAGTAAAAATAAAATTGTCCATACAGATAGGCTAGCACCTTTTTTTGAAAGACAGAGAGAGTAAACAAATAAATCGGAGCCCGGAACAATCTGTAAAAAAAAATAATATATAGCAACATGTTTATTTTTCTTAATGTTATATTTGCTGCGGTTTTATGACGTTTTATTTCAGAGTCTATGAGAAGAAAACGTCCTCGGAAAGAAACATCAAAGGGATATCGGTTCTTAACGTACAAGGGATGCAACTTCAAGCTACGCGACGATGATGGAATTAATTTTTCTTTAAAAGAAGACTGTCTCGCTCACGGTTTTTGATGGTGGTTTTTCCGTAAGACTAAGGGCAAATGCCGAGACAGGGACATGGGAGTGCTTAGTACACGTTGGGTACCACAGAGTAATTCCCCCCCCCCCTTGTCCAAAGATTCAAGACTGAAGAGTCAAGACGCAAGATGAAGACGCAGGAGGGCGAGAGAATCAGCTTCCAGGAAGGTGAGGATGCCTGAAGTCTAAGCCTGGAGGATTGGCCACCTTCCGGGAGAGAGACGAATAGGGTCCTGCTCGGAAGTTCGAAAAAGGACTGGGTTTATCATTAAGAAGAGATGGTGCTCGGTAGCACCTCGGTAGCTGCTGCAGCAGCACAGGGTAGAGCAGGAAACCATCGAAAACCCTGAGGTCCTTTATAAAAGAGCCCTAATTGTCGAGACGACAATCTAGAAGAGGGAGGGCAGTGTTACGCCCGCGTCTAAGTCCGCGTCATCCCGTATGTACAAACGAGCCGACGAGAGGAGATTGTTTCCTGGACGACGGACTGTCGGCTGTCAAACGGACGCCATTAGAGAGAGAGAGCTGAGCTGTCAGTGCGAACGGACGTGCTCTGACCTACTCTGTGTTTCTTGTATTACGTGCGTTGTTGTGTTCCTTAAAGAGTTTATTCATTTTGTAAGCGAGTCCCCTTATTTCCGCAAAAGCGTCGGAACGCGAAGGCGAACGCGAACGCGAGTGCGCGAGAACGACTCCCGGGCGTAACAATATATACATGGTGTCCCAGAACTGGCGTACCGCCAGAAACCAGCGTATTCTCCGTGAAATTCTAAGACAGAAAGTTCTTTACCAAAACGCGATCCGATGAATAGAATTTGAACGGTAAGCTATTGAAGTTCACGAATGGACGCGCGTAGAATTCGCGCGGTCAGGCACGTCCGAGACTGGCGCGAGGCACTTCAGACACTTGCTCGTGTCATAACGTATTT